GTGCACTGCGTTCCGACGGTAGTGCTAAGCGAACCGTTAAATTTTTAAAGCGCGGTTATAAGATCTAACATATCTTCTTGTTGTTTATAATCTGTACCACAAGTAAAACCCTATGGATTGCTTACGCAAACTCCGGGTTAATGATATAGGAATACTTTTCACCAAATACCAGAAGAAAAGGTCTAATATTCGAGCTAAATAAATTAGTTTATTATTTAATTTTATATATTTTACATCTTGTTTGCCAAATTATCAGTTGACGTTTACTACATAAGCGACAGGGGAACATTTTTGGTGACTAGAGAAGGAACCTCTGTGCCTTGAAATATCTTAAGTCTACGTACTGACCTTCATCTTGGCTTGGTTCCCTCAAGGAGTCCAGCTTTCCACTGATGTTCTTCTCATGATTTCTCATTTGCTTGTGTGTCTCCTTGAGGTTTTCTGCGGAGGAACGAACGTCCGCACGTCAGCTTTAGTATAAAACTCATACATGTAGAATAAAAATCCTTTCTTTCTGTAGTTGACGTTGACTGCGTAAGTCACAAGAGAACATCATTTTCTGGACTAGCGGTGGAATCTCTCTTCCTTCAAATATCCTAATGTCTACTGACCTTCATCTTGGCTTGCTTGCCTCAAGGAGTCTAACGTTTCACTGACGTTTTTCAATTGATCTCCCATTTGCTCGAGTGTCTCTTTGAGGCTTTCTGCGGCGGAATAAAATCAGCACGTCAGATTTAGTATAAAGCTGATAGAGGGCGCAGAAAGAAAATTTTGTTTTCTGCAGTAGTGTTGTTACTGTGGTTACGTTAATTTCCGCGATTTTTTGCGCGACGTCACGTATCGCTTTCACCTTGAATGAATGACAACTGAATGACAACTTTATTTTTCTGTGATTTGAATTTTTTAGGGGTATTAAATTTCGCGTGTTTAAAGTTCGCGAGGATTTTTATTCGCGCGTCTTTAATTTCGCGATTTATTTCCAATCGCGAAAATCGCGAAATTAAGTACCAGTAAGGTAGCTGTTATCCCTGTGAGTCTGTTGAATCGTTTATATTCACTCACTAGTGTACTGTTATGTGCTTGGACGTTCTTTGTTACTTTGTTGACAGAATCGTGTCTTTGAATATGGCTTTAATTTACGCAGTGGAGGATAAACATTACTCCTGCACCAATTCGAAGACCTATCTGGATACCAGCCTTGTGTGATCCTAAGTCATAGCCTTGATACCATTTCTGAGTTCTACGATGAAGGCCGTCTAAACGTATGTTCGAGAGCGGTAAACTTGAATGATTTCAAAGTCCTCTTACTAGAATTCTAGGTTGCACCTCACAAAACAACTAGTAATTCTCAAAGGTTTGCAAGCTGTGAGGTAAAGGCTCAGTAACAAATTGTTAACCTCGCGGCCTATGTACAGTTGGCGAATTGCGTCGATAATCTCAGCTGGATCAAAATCATCTAGAAGTAATCAAATAGAAGCTAGCTAATTCAAGTAACTTTTCTGTCCAGACAGATAAAATAAGGCGGCCTAAAACCGATCTATTTCTTAAGTTAAGGCAAAAATGCAAACAATCAATATGATGATAAAAGAAGGAAACGGGAACTAATTTTTGATTTATAATTTTTGTAATATATCTGTTAATTTCTATCTCGATATTTTCCATATTCAAGAAACATATTGAGCATT